AACAGTGCAGCAGAGGAGACATTTTCAGAGATAATAGAAAATAGTTGAACTATATGAAAATGAAACTAAACACATACACACACACTTAAATAATGAAAAGAGGAAAGTCTTAAAATCAACCATCTAACTGTACATCTTAGAAAATTAGTAAAAGGGAAAATTAAATGCAAACACAACATTAAGTAGGTAACTCTTGGAAATTAAGGAAGACAAATCATATTTATACACTTAATAGTTATAATTTTAATTTGTATAAAATATTAGAATATAAATTAGAAAAACTGAGACAGGAAATCAAAAGTTAAAGTCAATGAAACCAAAAGATCAATCTTAGAAAAGTCAACAAAAGTGTTAAGTTGTCGAGGCTAAGTAGAAAAAAGCAAACCTGATGACAAATTGCTAACATCAGAAATGGAAGATGACACATAGTTAGAAGTCCTGTGCATATTAAATGGAGAAGAATGGAAAACTGTGAAAAAGTTTTTAGAACCACTTCCTTGAAAAACAGCCAAAACAGATTTTCTGAATGGGCCAAACATAAAAAATATTTAAGTGATAATAAAAATTTCACAATTTATATAAACAATAAGAATATGACCCAGATTTTAATAGTGATTTTTCAAAACATTTCTGTGAGAAATTGTACAGTTTCTATAGTTGCTCTCTGAAAATCAAAAGTGTGTGGGGTGGGGAGATACTTCCCAATTAATTCTGTGAGGTACTAAAGGGTGTAAGAAGAAAAGAAAAATATAGGTTAATATCTCTCATAAAGAAAAATTCCAAAATCTGGAAGAAAAAGTTAGAAAATCAAATATAACATCACCAAGTAAGATTTTTCATGTGTCCATAGCTAGTTCATAACTAGAAAATTAATTTGTATAAATCATTGTATCAAAAGACTGAGAAGAAAAAAAAACACATGAACATATAATGGATTCAGGTAAAACATTTGAAAAAACCCAATATCCTTTCCTCCATACCAGTTGAGTCCCTGTTTTCAACTTGGCAAGGAATATTTTACAAACTGTGTACAGCTAGTGTGCATTAAAAAAATAATGTTCAGAAACAGAAAGTTTCCTCTGTATTTAATAAAAAGAAGCCCAGAAAAAGAACATTCCTTCTCACTGCTTTCATTTCAAAATCATGCTGAAAATTTTAGCAATACAAAAAGACAAAGCATACAAATAAAAACATGCTCATCAAATAATTGTCATTAGTAATATGGCAATGTAAAAGGGTGATAGGACGATATACAAACTGCTGTTGTTTTCCTGTAGGTTAGCATTCAGCAAATGGGCTTGAGATTTAAAAACCCAATAGTAAGTCAGGCAATGGTGCTATGCACTTTTAATTCCAGGACTCTGAAGGCAGAATCATGTGGAGCTCTGAGTTTGAAACCAGCCTGATATACAGAGTAAGTTCCAAGACAGCCAGGGCTACAGAGAAAAACCCTGTCTAGAAATAATAATAATAATATTACAATACTAGATAGAGAAAGCAGGATTTACCTGTAACTCCTACTCTCATGTGGCTGGTATAGGAGAAATGCCATGTGCTAGAGGCTAGTGTGGTCTACATAGGGAGTTCCAGATCAGCCTGGTGTACAAAGTAAGATTCTATACCCATATACACATGTGTACAAACACACACACACACACACACACACACACACACACACACACACACACACACACATTACCTTGATAAAATAAATGAAAACCTAGAGAGTAGGGAAGTATTCACATTCGTGGGTAGAAAATTCAGTGTTGCCTAGATTTCAGATCTTCTTATCTTAAGCAATAGCATTTCCAATCAAAATATCAGCAAATTATTTTGTAGACATCAAAAAAGGAAAAGCAGATAACCCAGAGTAGCTGAGAAAATACAAATACAAATGAATAAGACACAGTTGGAATTCTGGCACTGCCTCACTTTAAGGCTTATCACAAAGTCAGAGAGAATGGGAGAGAAAGAGAGAGAGACTGAGACTGTCATGGGTTTTTAAAACCTGACAGCCCACCCCCCACATCCTCCAACAGGCCACACGTACTCCATGAAAGCCATATCTCCTGATCCTTCCAAGCCTTTTCCAATAGTTTCATTCATTGGTGACTAATCATGCAAATATATGAGCCTATGGGGCTGTTCTTGTTCTCATTATACTGACCAAAGTGTAAAATGAAAAGGACAAACTTTTCCAGAAGGTAACATCAGGGGAATATGTAGATGATGATGACACGGTCCTGGCAATCAACCCTGGCATTGTGCCCCTCCCTGCCACATTGGCTTTTTGTATATAACATCACTGTCATGATCCTATAGAGAAAGAATCAGTGAGCTAAAATTTATAAAAAGTTTATCTTTGGCTCTGAGAAAAAAAAAGCACTGTTAAGAAGATGAAAATGGATGAATGAGAGTAAATTATTACAAACTACATATGATGAAGCAATATTGTGGACAGTCATTCAAAGCAGAGCTTATTTAAGGTCTCAGAAGTTATTCAAAGGCAAAGTCTTTCTCATTTGAAAGCTAAGAAAACAAAAAGTAAAGTCCGGATTAAAATACGGAGAAATGAAGACACCAAAGATGATGCACAGGTGGCAAAAAAAAGCACAATGTTCTCTGTTATATATCTCAGGGGACAGAAGATTTAAAAGTGTGATATAATTGCCACTTGTCCAAAGAACCAAAACCTGGAATGCTGATACTAAATTTTGAGAAAAACTTAGAGCTCAGAGATGCTACATTGTTGGTGGAAATCCCAACCACTTTGGAAGAGAACTGTTGGTTTCTTAGATATATTCTTGCTATTGAGTTCAGCACTTCCTTCTTGGTATTCATCTAATGAAGCTTAAAACTTGAATGTTCACAGAAAACCCTGCACATGGGTATTTATGGTAGCTTTACTTTAATAGATAAATTTGGGTAATCAGACAATTAATAATGAATAGTTATTGAGTAATAAGGTGAAATAAGCTGCCATGAATGGGAAGACATGAATCAACTTTAAATGAGTAGTACTCAGGGTCTGAAGTCAATCTGGGAAGTAGCATGGTTCCAAGCATTGCTATTCTAGATAGGACAGAACTTTGAAGAAAGTGAAAGATCAGTTGCCAAGTGTTTAGGGAAAAAGTGGTGGGTGGAGCAGAAACATTTTTTATGACAGAGAAATGCTACAATGATACAGTAGTACTGGATAACTGTCAGTGAACTTATTTTCTAAGCCTTTTCAGTGTATGTTTTCAATCAAAACAAACTGACCATGTCATTGGCAGATGTCATGGGCAGGTGTGGAGGTCTGTAGATTGTCTCTGCATCATCTTCTTGGATTTGCCATGAAACTAAGCATGTACTTTAAAAAAAAATGAAGTCATTTTAATGATACAAGTATACATAAATAAATAGCTTTACAATACAATGAGATGTTAAATAAGAGTAAACTTTCTGTAACAAGTAAAATGTAACAAAGTAAAATGATTTCAAAATATACTCCATCACTTTATTTGTAGCAATAGTATATCCATGTATATTTAATCAGTTTTCTCAGTGTCTCTTATAGAAGACTATATTTCAGAAACCATTATTTTGAAGTGTTGTCTGTTAGAAGCATTTCTCATTGAGTAGGGATTTTCTTGTAAGATAGATACCTGCCATCATGGAACTTAAAATATCAAGAGGAAATGTAAACTAAACAACCCATACACATGATAATTTAAAATTTTGTTTATTGTTGTGATGAATACTTTGAAGAAACAAATGGAGTTACACCTTACCTGGAGAGATAGATGTGTGGGTATTAAAGAACCAATTAGGGAACAATTGCAGAATCACAAATATGAATGATATTAGCATTTAATTTTTCTTTTCAAAATGATTTGTAGGCCTGGAGGCTGTATGGTAACTCAGAGGTTATATTAAGTCACATAAATAATTATGGTATTATACTTATGAAACACATGCTTTATATTGATAATTACATAATTAAACTATGTTAAATATGAGGACAAAAATAACAGGAGGGATGAAGATTTGCTAAATGTTCGAGAAATGACCAAAACTATATTTCTATTAGAACAATTTGTATTTTCTCCCTTACAATTTGACAAAAGGCCTGAACTGTCACTATTTGTTATATATTGTATGTTTTATATCATATATTAACTGTGCACAGTCTGTCAATACTGAAGTGAAAGGTACCTTTAATGCTGCTCAAGTTTGGGGCTGCTTATGTTTAGTATTTCTGCTGACCCAAGGACTGTGTGTACTATCAACTCTGAGCCATCATGTCCTTGGGGATAGACCTGATGGCTATGAGTCCCCATTGGTCAATTGGAGTGGAAAGAGAATACACATATCTTCTAAGTGGAGATTAAAAGGTCATGAATAAGAGTTTTAGTCCTAGAAAATGTGGGATATGTCAACTCTGTGAGGTTGAAGTTTTAGGAGTTTCAGCTTCAGATTTATGGCACAGAGGATACGATGACAGAGTTCATCTGGGCAATTACACACTGACAGGAAATGAGTGAACTGCAGATGTGCTTTGGGTGAGGACCATCAGTGGCTCTCAGAGATTAAAGCCGCAGTCCTCTGTGGAACTGGATGGAGTCACTAGAATTTGCAAGTCTCGGTGACATGTGTAGTTCTCAACTGGCACAACTTAGCAATGTATGAAACTGGGCTCACGGTGACACACAAAATGGGAGCCCAAATTTGTGGTGCTGCAGTAGACCAGGTTGGCCTTCAGATTCCATTCTGATCATCTCACAGTTATTTATTTCTTTATTCTCTAAGCCTCACAGTTTGCATGGGCAAAATGGTAAAAATATATTTAGATCCATTTATTAAGATTATTGATTCAGAGCAACATAACCATGTGTTTGATGTATAGTGATGGTTAATAATAATAAATGTTGAGAATCCATTTTAAATAATGAATATTCCTAATCACCCATATTTTATTATGATTTCTTTTTTTATTTATTTTTTAAATTATAGATGCTTCCTAAAATCCTGGACAAGCTAGCACCAGCATTCACCATGAACAGCTGCAGCTTTCTAGTGGAAAAATCGCGAGCCTCTACGGCCCGGGTAGTGGTGTGGAGAGAGATGGGGATTTCCAGAAGCTACACCATGGAGAGCAGCTATTGTGGCTGCAATCAGGGCCCCTATCAGGTATGTGAAGCTATAGAGACCCTGCTATCTGCTCAGCAGAAGAACACAGAAACGGGAAGCAATAGCAGACCTGTCTTTCTCTCTTGCAAGGGGTAGGTGGCTCCCAGCTGTGTCCGGCCTCCATCCTTTGCTGGAAGAAATGTTTCAGTGATTATCTTCACCTGCAGCAGCATCTTTGTTGATCCTGGAAATAATCTGTGCATGCCTTCCAATGCAGTGCTTCCATAAGCCATCTTTGCTAGGAAGCGGCAGGGAACCTCTCTCTGAACTGAACAACCAGTCATGGTTGTTATATGCATGGAAATTTGTTATCTTTTTCAATAACCAAACAGCACATCATAGAGGGTATAGGTCTATAGGTATGACCAAAACATTTCTGTGCTGTGCAGTTTATGTGCCAGTATAAACCAGCAGCTACCTGCTGTCACCAGAGAACAGCAAAGTGTGTGTACACTATGAGTCCACTGGCATGAGTGGCATTTTTTTTGACACATGTGCTAGTGTGGAGGGAAAGCACTCCTGTATAAATCATGTCCTTTCTACAGCTATATTAACTGCATGAGCAGCTGGATAGCTGCTACAGCACACTGCTCTGGCTGCTCTTCCCACTCTCCCATAGAGAAACATAAATAAGAGACACAGTGACAATGCCAGGGTAATAGACTCTTTTAAATTTCTTAGGCAAGTTGACAGACTACTCCTTGGTGACTTCTGTTCAACCCCAAGACTGCCGGGACCTCAGGAGCACTAAAGCTCTTTGGGCGTTGGCTTTAAAATACTCTTAGAACAGCCAGGAAATACTTGGCATCTATCATGAGTTTGTAGAAATCTGTTAGCTATCACAGGGAGTTTAGGGACTGGCAGATTATGAGATCTGCCTGTCTCCCTACCTGGACAAAGAGATTTTTGACATAGGACTATTGAACCATTCATTTTGTCTCACTAATTATGTCTGTTAATTATCCTAAACAGTTACTTCAAAGAATTACTTTGTTACTGGATTAATGTTATTAGACTAAATTAATTCAATTTACTCATGTTAATATATATGCAAAATAGAAAGATTTTGGATCATTGCATGCATAGGCAGGATATACCTCACTCTTCCATTTGTCAAAAGGGCTGGAGGCTCATTACCTCAGATGCATACTTGCTCAGTCACATGAAGATATTCATGAGGATTCTTCGCCTACAACATACAAATTCTACACATGCATGGATGCTTGGAGACGATTTTGTCAGGAATGTTTTCACTCTGCTGGTATTAAAAAAAACCTATGGTATCAGAAAAAAAATAAGCCTGTGATTCTGTGACTTTTGGAATACAGGAGTTATCTTTGTGCTGTATGCTTTTTTTATTGAAAGGGGCAGTCATTCAAAGACATCCCATGCAACCTTTTGCAGATTTATTTGATTGTTGATTTTCATTGACTTAGTTTCTCCAAGAATTAATTCAGCCTAATGTCATTGAGTCACATAGATAACAATGTCATTCACAATGAATTAACTGGACACTCAAAGACGTTTCTGGCATTTTGAAAAGAGAATGGCTCACAGGTCAGGTCCTTTCTAGATCTCTGTTTTCAATGTAACATATATAATGGCTGTTAGAAATGACAATGGATGAAAGATACTCAGCCAATGGGATAGCTTCCAGGCCCTGACCCAACATCTATCCTGTGAAATTTCCCACATCGCCTTTGTACGAGGTCTCTTAAAGGAAGAATGGAGTGAGAACTGGCTACAGAAAGCCCTAACTGGGCCAGACCTGGTTTTGCTTTCACAGTCTCATGCACTATATGAAACACCTCTATGAATGGATTGGTTTTCTCCTTCCCATTGCTTTCCTGTCCTTACAAACACACCGTGGAGTCACTGAGCACAATTACAGCCAGTGAGCAGGTATTGGTGAGTAATTTTACATATTGGAGGGCCTACATCATGGGAAGAAAGCCAGCCCAGAGTTGGGTGTTTCAGTGATTTTTGTTTGAGAAATATCATGTAGTCTATGAGCTATAAAACAGTATAGAAATTTCTATGCAGAATATATTGCAAATGATTTGTTTTTTACATTGGGAAGCTGAGTCCCAGTTGGGTCTTGAGGTTATTATTGTAAGGTCATCTTTCCATTTTTTTTTTGTTTAGCATTACCATTTATTCAAAAGATTGAAGATACTTAAATACACCCATGAGAGGCATTCCTTCCTTCCTTCATAAGAATATAAATATTTTTGCAGTTTCTCTGGTTAACGTGGCTTTAAAGCAGTTCTAATCATTTCTTCCACAGCACAAAGTACCTGATTTGTTAGTAGTGAAATGAAATAGCATTTCTTACAGTGACATTTATGCTGGAGCTACATTAAAGAACATTAGCCACTACATTCAGATAATTATTATTAATATGATATTTTTCTCTTCCATTTTCCAGTCCATAGTTGGATAGTTTTAAAGAAATCTCCTGCTTATATCTCTTTGAGACACAACTTCTGCTTTAGTTATATAATTAGATCATTAATTTGTGTTTAACCTGGAAGTTCCACCCACTGAAAGAATTACTTTACCAATTGGGTACTCACCTAAAGCTTTCAAGTCTTCTGGGGGAGAAAGGCAAAATGTAATGTTACAACCATGGGGAGCTCGTGTTTTTATAGGTTTCTAGTTGATATGGGCATCTGTGTGCTTTTTATTGAATGTCTGTGAACTGGGGGTCCCAAGCACATGATGATTATACATCATGTGTTTGTACATACAAAGTCATGTATCTGGATTTCATGGGTTACTAAAGGCTACGGAGGTTGTCTTGAGTACTCCCACTCAAGCAAACTGTGAACTTGCTTCTTGGCAACATTGTAGGCTTAGAGCAAGAATAGAAGATGGGAGAATCAACTGAGGTAAAAGAGTGAGTAACTGGTGTTTAATCTCCTTCCTGCAAAATAGCTGCTTTATGTTATGGATCCTCTATGTGTGTGTTTCATCCATTCTAGCATCCACTGAGGTACCTCTTACAATCCTGAATTGTTCAAATCATAGTAATGGCCCTTCATCTATGTATTGGATGTCCTTTGCTTGTGGAGTATGAACAAAGCCCAACAAACCCGGGGAAAAAATTTCACTTGTTTATGGTGGTGAAACCAAGAGTGTGTTAATTGCTTATTTGCAGTAGCATGCATGAGGTACTACTTAAAGGAACTTGTGTAGTCCCAAACACTTGTGCCACTGAAAAGTCCTACCCTAGCATGGCTAACACCCTCACAACACCTGCACAGATGGAGTCCCCTATTAGTAGACCTTTCACCCATCATGCACTCAACCACCTGCCAAGACTACAGTCAACTGAGGCAGAAATATCCAAAAGGAAATAGTAGGCTATAATCACAGGGAAGGGGCTGAAGACCTTCCTTCTACTTTTACAGAGGCTGCCAATTGGCCAGATCTTGGAAGGGTCTTGTGTGGTCCATCACAGCTGACTAACTAAGATGGTCATAGGGCAGAGGACAGCAATCCACAACACTATTCAAGTGTCCTTTTTTGTCCTAAGTAAACTTCTACAATCTCTTGATTTCTTTTTAAATACTCAATTCTTATTCTAGTATTCTAGTATTGAATCACTATTAAAATATATGATGGATGAATAAATAAATGAAGAAAATGGGTCAAAATTTCTAAATGGTGGTAAAATGATTATCTTGTATGTTCAAGTAACAAATAAAACTGAATTCACTGTGGTCCAAATTTGATCGTAGCCATAAATGGAGATTTTGAGAACTGTTGCCTGATTTGCAAATGGAAATTGTGTGGGTGGGAGAGGGACAGGCCAAGAAACCAGAGCTGAGATCTCTCGGATCTGTCATGTTGTATATGATTTGAGAGCACCTAATGGATTCTTTCCCAGAATAAGGCAATCTGGTCCATGTGTGGAATCTCTCATGGCCACATTCCCATAACAGATGGTGATTAGACAGATGGACTATTCTGTGTATAAGGTAAATGCCACAGTCCATACTCTAGGACTCCCATTTTAGTCTCAGTCACTCATTTTCCCTTATAGCTGTGTCTATCATTATGCATTACTTGGGTCTGAAGGAAGCTGCCAGCTGCTTTCCTCCAAACCCTGGCTCTTCTATAGTAGGTATATTCAGTGGCAAGTATAGGTTGGGAACAAGGGCCTAGTTTCCTTGCCTCTGTTAGAACAACTATAAAAGACCTATTTAGTTCTCTATTGGATCATCTGGGGCCTCTGTTGCATTTTCATTGCGAGCTGACTCCTCTCCTGACTAACTCTGTGTTTTTGTTGTTCACCAAGTTTGAAGAGTGCACTCCTTAAATACTTCTATGGGAGGCTCTGAGTCTCAGAAGATCTTTTCTGGGGCAAACAACTTGTGACAGTGTTTTAAGAAGACATAGATTAGGAAACATAAATGATAGAACTAAACATTTAAATATTGAAGATGTTTTGACAGGGCTGAATTTCAGAAGGAAATTAGATTATCTACAAATACTATCCAAGGCTGCCAGGATCCCTCATTCATACTCCACTGGCTTTAGTTGTTTAGGACATGAAACCCTCTATTTGGCCAGAGACTCCATCCACCCAGTTATCGCGGTTAAATAAGGATCAGGATAAACAAATAGGCTGAATAGATGTTTATTCAGGGAGAAATAACTTACAACCTAGACAGATGAACACCAGGAAATTCCACCTGATGCTCTCCTGTCCGAGTTCCACCAGCAAGAGAGCTTTTCCCGGCTCTTCCTCTGACCTCCTTCCACAGGTCACTTCCACCCATGGCTCCACCCCCCAATGGGCATGGTCAGTGTCACAGAAGGACTATCACACTACACCCAGTAGTGCATTTTTACATTGATGTGTAAGAAGGCTAGGCAATCAGGCACTATGATGTTTATCTTCCTGGTATCAGGGATATGGAAGAAGGAAGATGACAGTTCAGTGGCCATTCTGGACTACATGGTGAGTACACAGCCTGTGTGGGTTACATAGA